GTTTTATAGATTTTCCACATTGACATGACTGGAGTGCTAGGTCATTGTCTTGACCACTATGTGGTAGCTCATTTATGAATGTCCCTGGATTATCTACCCAGTTCCGTGCCCATTAACACTTGGTTATCTGTAGTATTAGCAGTTAATAACAGCACTGCTCCACAGCCCAGCGGGTCCACTCTCAGGTGTCTGCAGTGGAGAAATGAACGTGTGTGCCCCCACCCCCGAGATTGACTAGAAGGGGCCAGCAGCTTTGTTCATAAAATAGCCAAAGTAATACATAACTTAGCAAGAATGTAACTGCACAAAGCTATCATTTTCATCAAAGTAAAAACAACCCAGAAGTCTGTCAAAGGAGCCTTGATGAACCGTTGTGAAAGTCCAGTGGCGCACAACACAGCAATCTTCTTTCTGCCGCAGTTGAGATTTCTTTTGTACAAGATCATGAAAGGTAAATTTCATTTTGCTCTGCCTTTTGGATTGTAATTTAGCTATATACATGGAGGTCTAGGTTGGCCGTTTTCCCGTCATGTTTTGAAAATGCTATTTCATTACCCTCTGACTGTGATTATTGCTTTTGAAAACCCCCAGTTGATCTCACTTGTTCCACCTCTCAGGGTGATTCACTCTGTGCCGTTCCTGGTGCCACTACTCTAGTTTACCTTGGTGGTGTCGTAACGTTTCACCGTGACTTGTCTAGGTGTAGGTTATTTTCTCATCTTGCTCAGGATCCTCTGCGCTCTCTGAGTTTAGTCGTTTGTGTCTCTAGTCCTCAATCCTAGAAGACTCGGCTGTTGGCTCTTCCACCTGCCCGGGCCCCTGGACCTTTCCCTCACGGTTCCTTCTCGTTATCCTCCAGGCATTCTGTGACATTCCTGGGGTCCACCTAATGTTGGCCTCGTTCCCTGTTCTGCTGTGTCCAGTCTACTACTCAGTGAGTTATTCAGTTCAGTGACCCCATTTCTCATTTCTAGAAATTCTATTTTGTACTTTTAAAAATATACTGGTTCACTTATCTACTGTAGTCTCCTGTAATAACTTGATTGTGCCTTGGATTTTCTATACCTTTTTAGTTTTCATTTAATCAAAAAAGCTAGGTAATATTCAGAAGGTACAATATATTGTGTAGTGCCCCACACCCTCAGAGGGACTCATGTTAGAACATAAAGTGCGTCTCCATGTTTTGGGGTTTTTTGTTTTTGAGGTTCAAGGTCTATTCTGTGGCTGTTCCCTCCTTTACCCAGTTTCTTATTGGCAGACATTTAGGTTGTTTCCAGAGTCTGTTGTCACAGACGGTGCCACAGTGGGTGCCACTTCCTTGTATGTGACATACGCGAAAGTGTGCCTCCAGGCTAAATAACCAGAGGTAGAATTGCTGAGTTTAAAGGTGAAGCATTTGCAATTTTGGTGGCACATCACTGTCCATAGAGGCCAACTTTTTCGTTCCTGGGTGACCCATTCTTTAGTAATGTTGACAGCAGCCTATTTCTCCAACTAGCTCTGCCAAAGTGGCGTTACCAAGCTCTTTGGAATTTTGCCAGGCTGACGGGTGAAAAATTATTATCTCAGTGTCATTTTAACTTGTGGTACTATCTGTGGGTGAGTTTCCTTTCATACACCTAAGTTCATTTGTTTATCCTTGTCTGAAAACATATCTTTACCTGTTTTTCTCTGTTGAGGTTTTAGGTTTTTCTACAGCTATGGGGGAGCTCTTTATGTAATGGAGCAATTAACCGTTGTCTGGAGGAGGAAAAAACTACAATTTATGTCTCAAATATAAAAATTTTTTTCTTTTGAGACAGAGTCTCACTATGTCATCTTGGGCAGAGTGCTGTGGCATCACAGTTCACAGCAACCTCAAACTTTTGGGCTTAAGCGATCCTCTTGCCTCAGCCTCCCATCAAAGATAAATTTTTTAACTCTGCTTATAATGTATTTTACTATAAAAAATGTTGACTTTTGTGCATTTAAATATTCAATCTTTGCCTTACAGCTCTTGAATTCACTATCACATTTAAATGACCTTTCTCACTAAAAGTATTTTGTGATTTATTCAACTACTTTTATGTTTGATTTACTTTGGCATAGAGTATATGGATTAACCTTTTTTCCCCCAGGATGACTACCCCATTGTTACACAGTTATCAGATAATCCATCTTTGCTGATTTAAATTCCGTGTCACTGCAGACCAAGTTCCAATAAGTACTGG